TTCCAGGACCTTCTATTTGTACACTGTGAACATCCTGTCAGCTGCCCGCATGCTGCTGCACAGGTGCTACAAGGTAACTCCTGGACCTTCTTCCATTCCCTCCACAGAGACCAGTCTTACCTCACACTCCCTTTAGCCTTTTTACCTGAGCTACTGAAACAGAACTATGTGCGTTTTTTGTCTTCTCTCTCCTCAGAGCGTAGCCAACTTGATAGAAAGGAGGCAATTTGAAACCAAGGAGAACAAGTGAGTAGCAATTTAGTTTAGTAATTGCATTTTTTCAAGGTCAAAGGCTTGAGGGGAAATTTCCTATAGAAATGGAAACCAATAGAGATAGTAACCAGTCTGGTTGCATTGAATTGTTGGGTTAGGTTGGCATAAATCATGCATTAGTCTACACTCTTCTAATATACTCCCAGTGAAATAATTTTGTAGATTATATTCATGAGAAAAGTACAAACTGGCACCAAACGTAAAGTGCAAATGAGAGGCAATAAGAGTTCCGGGAGTGAAGTCACATTTCTAAGTTTGTAGAAAACATCCTTAAAAGGTGACATTATCCATTTTGACCAGGAACCTGGTAAAGGGCATGTTATACCCCCGGGCTAATGGGTAAAATCTCCACAGCTAGGGGACCAGTTTGGAGTTGTGTTTGTTTGACAGGCGGCTCCTAGAAAAGTCTCAGAGGGTGGAAGCCATCATCGCCTCCATGCAGGCTACAGGTGCGGAGGAGGCCCAGCTACAGGAAATAGAGGAGATGATCACAGCTCCTGAACGCCAGCAGATAGAGACTCTCAAACGGAATGTCAACAAGTAAGCATCCTACACATCAAGCCTCCGTTTCAAATACCTTCCAGGCTCACCCACCTCTCCACGTTGACACAAACAACCCTTAACTCACTATCTTTTCCAGCTCACCTAACAGAATCTAATCCACCTATTTCCCCAAACTGAACTCTGAAGACATCCTCAGCTTCTCCTCCCACACCATACACCTTGTTCACCAAGGTTGTTGATTTTACTTCAGTTCATGTGTTTCAAATCTGGCCTTCCGTCTTGGTCCCCAAGATGAGAGAGACATATCAACATGCCTCCCACATGCACCCTGACCAGGACTCAAACCTGCCACCCTCTGGTATATGAGATGATGCTCCAACCAACTGAGCTACACCAGCCAGTGCTAAAACTAACTTTTGTGTTTGATTTTATATCCTGCAACTTTTAAAGTTTTGTTTGTTGACTCTTTAGTTTTTTTGCAGATCCTTTGAGATTTTTCTATGTTTAGGATCATGCCAATCTGAATGCCTTGTATTTCTTTTTCTTACCTAATTGCCTGGCTAGAACCTCCAGTAAAAGGCTGAATGGAAGTGAAAGGCAGACATCCTTGTCTTGTTCCCCATCTTAAGGCGAAAGCTTTCAGTCTTGCACCATTAAGGATAATGTTAGCCGTGGGGTTTTCATAGATGGCTTCAATCATGTTGAGGAAGTTCCCTTCCATGCCTAACCACTACTCAGTTTAGCCGCAGCCACTTTCAGCTTCTATTTTAAAACACACTGGAACCTTCTATGCCTTTACATGTGCTATTCTTTCTCCTTGTTTTAAGTTAGACTTTAACTTCTCCCAGGAGAGGCTGTATCTTTTGAATTCTCAGCAAGTTCCACAGTGCCTGGCATTTAAGAGATGCTCAGTAAATGGGAGAATGATCTATTGGTTTCCTGCTTTCTACCCATTAATCTCAAGGGTAACCAAGCAATTCTGCACGGCCACACCGCGCCCAGACTCTCACTGTAAATCTGCTAGTAAGTGTTCAGTCTGGACAAATGCTCTCACTTTTCACTCAGGCTGGACGCCAGCGAGATCCAGGTGGATGAAACTATCTTCTTGCTGGAGTCGTACATAGAGAGCAACACGAAGAGGCAGTGACCCTGAAGAAGAGTCTTCCTCAAAGACCTGAGGGGTTGGAAGGAGAAATAAAGGAGCTGCCTGGATGCATTCTTCGTAGTGGGATAAACTATGGATTCTTGTACTGAAACCCTCTATCCCTGCCTCCTAGAATACACCAGCTTGGTGATCCTGTCTTTGAACCATCACTACATTCTCTCCTCCTTGGCAGGAAAAAGAAACTTAGATCCCACCCAGAAGTCAGCCCAGCTGTGTTTGAACATTCCTGGCAGTGAAGAAACTTCTTCCTAAGCAATCCATTACATTTTCAAAAAGCTATACCTGTTTCCCGGCTGTTGTCACTCAGTGGTTGAGTATCGACCCATGAACCAGGAGGTCATGGCTCAATTCCCAGTCAGGGTACATGCTCAGGCTGTGGGCTCATTCCCCAGTAGGGGGCATGCAGGAGGCAGCCAATCAGCGATTCTCTCTCATCATTGATGTTTCTATCCCTCTCCCTCTCCTTTCCTAAAAAGAAAAGTAAAAAGAAAAAAAAAAAGCTATGCCTGTTCTTTGTTACACTGTAATCTTAAACAAACACACACACACACACACACACACACACACAGTGTAGGGAGTATAATATGAAAGACTGCCACCAAGTAGGGGAAAAGTCTATTTTCAGGGCTAGCAGGTAGATTGGCCCAAGCAAACACTTTATTATCTATGGATAGAAGCCACATTTGCCAGCCCCAAACTTCTAGCACAGTGGTTCTCAACCTTCTGGCCCTTTAAATACAGTTCCTCATGTTGTGAGCCAACCATAAAATTATTTTTGTTGCTACTTCATAACTGTAATGTTGCTACTGTCATGAATCGTAATGTAAATATCTGATATGCAGGATGGTCTTAGGTGACCCCTGTGAAAGGGTCGTTCGACTGCCAAAGGGGCTGCGACCCACAGGTTGAGAACCACTGTTCTAGCACATCTGAAATTACGCATGTAAAGCACTTAGCACAATACCCCGCATGAAGTAAGTACTCAGTAAGTCATTGCCTTCCTCTTCATGGTTCCTTAAAGGCGAGTCTGCTGTCTCTCTCAGCACCATGATTAATATAGTAGTTGATGTAATTTGTCAGAGCAGCTTCAGTCATTTAAAGCAGTCAGGTTTTGTTTTATAATCTCTTCCGTTTCCTCTTACCGATGTTGGTTCTAATTCATTAAGCATTTAAGTGCCAATTAATTGCTAGCCATTATCTACACTAATAAAATACAAATATGCAAATTGACCGTACATTCACTATGCCTTAAGCCATGCCCACCAGCCAATCAGAGCGACTATATGCAAATTAACCCAACCAAGATGGTGGCCGGCAGCCACAGAGCTGGAGCAAGCAGGAGGCTTGGTTGCCCCAATGATGGAGGAAGCCAAGCTTCCTGCCACGGCCCGGCTCTGAGCTCCACTCAAAGCAACAAAGTTTCAATTATAGAAGATAGATAAACCCCAGATACCTGCTTTCAGCTGCCTGTGGCCACAGAGCTGGAGCAAGCAGGAGGCTTCCCTCCTGCCCACCCTGGCCGGCTCTGAGCTCCTCTCAAGGCTACAAAGTTTCAATTGTGGAAGGTAAATAAATCCCAGAATATAAAGGAAAAAAAAGGAGAGGCTGGGAGCTTCTGTCACCAGGGGGCTTGGCCAGCCTGAAAATGGCCCTCAGCCCCTCACCCAGATTGGCCAGGCACCCCAGTGGGGACCCCCACCCTAAAGGGGGTGTGGCCAGCCTGAAAACAGCCATCAGCCCCTTACTCAGGCTGGCCAAACCTCCATGGGGTGAGGGTCCCCACTAGGGGGGCTTGATCAGCCTGCAAACAGCTATCAGCCCCTCACCCAGGCTGGCCAGGCACCCCAGCAGGACCTCCACCCTGATCAGGGACACCCTTCAGGGCAAACCAGCCAGCCCTCACCCATACACCAGGGCTCTATCCTATATAATAAAAGGGTAATATGCAAACTGACCCTAACAGCAGAATGACTGGTCACTATGACACACACTGACCACCAGGGGGCAGATGCTCAATGCAGGAGCTGCCCCCTGGTGGTCAGTGCGCTCTCACAGGGGGAGCTCTGCTCAGCCACAAGCCAGGCTGATGGCTGCCGGTACAGCGGTGGTGGTGGGAGCCTCTCCCGCCTCCTCAGCAGTGCTAAGAATGTCTGACTGCAGCTTAGACCTGCTCCCTGCTGGCAAGTGGACATCCCCCGAGAGCTGCTGGGCTGCCAGAGGGATGTCTGACTGCCAGCTTGGGCCTGATCCCCCAGGGAGCATGCCTAAGCCAGCAGGTGGACATCCTCCGAGGGGTACCAGACTGCAAGAGGGCATAGGCTGGGCTGAGGGACCCCCTTCCCCACCAAGTGCACAAATTTTTGTGCACCGGGCCTCTAGTACTAGATATAATATACAAAGATAGACAAGATGCCATCTCCACCTTTAGGCAGGCGTTCACTGAGCACCTATTACTCACCCAGTACTAGCCCAGACCTTGGGGCACAAAGACCACTATGCCTAAGCACACAGCCTAGTAGGAGGAGACAAGTACAAAGCAGTAAGGGGGCGGGGGGGCTATAAAGGGAAGTTCCATGTACAGAGAGGCCCTGGGGGAAAGGCCATAGGGCCTGAGCCTTGATCTGGAGGGAAAGAACCCCAGAGGGAAGCGGAGCCTGGTTCTGGGGGAACTGCAAACAGGATGTGACTGGAAAGAGGGGCTGGGAGTCCTGCCAGAACTGAGGCGAAGGAAGGGGAGGGGTTTGGGGGAGGGACCGAGGTCTAAAATGTTTTCTGGGCATCTGGTTAGGAGACATGTAGTGAATGAGGGACACCTGTGTAACAGGTGTGCAGTGTGGGGCGGGCTGTGGCTGGTTGGGAGGGGAGGTTGAGTCCAGAAATCGTTCGGTCAGCGGGGTCACTGTCCGAAACAGAGATGGAGGAAAGAGCTGAAGACTGAGAGGTGATCTCCTGTGTTAGTTATTAACATTACACCCACGGATCTCCCCCAAACGTGATGCCTAAAATTGCCGGGGAACGTTGTGCTTCTTCCGACCCCGCGGCCCGAGGGGCGCCGCCCGGCCACCAGAGGGCGCCGAGCGGCCGGTGGCCCCGGGCGGCGATGGCGGAGGCGCGGGTGCTGCTGCTGCTCTCGGGGCGCCCGCGGCCGGCGGGCTTCGCGCAGAGCGTGTGCGGCCTCCTGGGCGCCGGGGCCGGGGCCGGGCCGTGGCCCACACACTGCGGCCTGCGGCGCGGGCAGCTGCTCCTCTCGGCCGGGCCGTTCCCCGGCGCCACGGCCAGGCTCCCGCTCCAGGTGGGGGCTCCGGGGGCCGGGCAGGGGGCGGGGGCGGGGGCGGCTGCAGGCGGGGCCTGGGTCCGGCCGGGCGCCCCGCGGCGCAAACCCGAACCCACGCCGCTCCCTCCTGCCAGCGCCCCGCCTTCTGCCCCTTCGCGGCCCTGGACCGGCAGCCCCCGCCGCCGGGAGCCGAGCTGCCCGCGAGCCGCGGCGTGGACCTGGGCGTGGCCGTCGTCCTGCAGTCCAGCGACCAGACGGTCTTGTTGACACGAAGGACACGCACCCTCCGCGTTTCCCCCAACCTCTGGGTGCCCCCAGGTGAGCGCCCCGAGGACACGGCCCCGGTCCCTCCTCGCCGGCTCCCCGCGCCCTGCCCGCCGCGGGGCGGTGAGCGGTGAGCGGTGAGCGGTGAGCGGTGAGCGGTGAGCGGTGAGCGGTGAGCGGTGAGCGGGCGGCCACGCACACGCTCTCACCTCCCGGGCCCTGTCGCTGCAGGCGGCCACGTGGACCCCGGCGAAGCGGTAACCGTGCGGCCCCGCCCTGCCCCGTCCTGAGCGGACGCCTCTCGGGACCCGCCTGCGTGCGGCCGGGGAGGTCAGGCCTGGCGTGACTCGGCCTCTCTCTGCAGCTGCTGGACGCGGGCCTCCGCGAGCTTTGGGAAGAGAGTGGACTGCAGCTGCCCCGGGGCCAGTTCTCGTGGGTCCCCCTGGGGTTATGGGAGGTGAGACAGGGACCTCTTTACCTAACCTAGAACCCCCACGCCTTCTGCCCCACCCGGGGCCAGGGAACAGCCGGGCCTGCCTTGGAGAGTGGGTGGTGTGGAGTTCCCAAATCCGTTCCTCACCCGTGTCCCTCGGCGCCATCTCTACCCTCCCCTTCCTCAGCTGTATTCCCAAAGCCTCAAGAAGAGACAGGAAGTTCTCATTTTTGCCATTTTCTTCGTAGTCCGCCTACCCTCCCAGGCTGAGCTGGGGTCCCCCCAGATACCATCACGTCGTTCTCTACCTCCTGGTGGTCTCCCAGGAGTCGCAGCAGCAGCTGCAGGTAGGGCTGGCGGGGGAGGAAAGGCACTAGGCTCCGGAGGCCCAAGCAGGCTGGTCTCACTGTGACTAAGGTTGGGGTTCAGGGGGTGTCAGGGGAAGCCTTCCGGCCCCAAGTTCCTCTCCATCCACCAGTGGGTAGGTTGTGATCAGAGCAGGCCTCCTGCCAGAGGCCATGATAAGGGACCCACATGTCTGGCCCCAGGCCCGGATCCAGCCAAACCCAAGCGAGGTGAGCGCCTTCCTGTGGCTGGGCCCCGAGGTAGCAGCTGCCGTGGCCGCCTCGGAGGGTGGGACAGAGGGGCCCCGACCTCTCTCCCAGGACCTGCCACCCTCAGTCGTGTAAGTAAGCGCTGCTCCCTGGCCCTCCGCGCTGCTCCCTGGCCCTCCGCGCTGCTCCCTGGCCCTCCGCGCTGCTCCCTGGCCCTCCGCGCTGCTCCCTGACCCTCCGCGCTGCTCCCTGACCCTCCGCGCTGCTCCCTGGCCCTCCGCGCTGCTCCCTGGCCCTCCGCGCTGCTCCCTGGCCCTCCGCGCTGCTCCCTGACCCTCCGCGCTGCTCCCTGACCCTCCGCGCTGCTCCCTGACCCTCCGCGCTGCTCCCTGACCCTCCAACACACCAACACACACACATTGAAAAACTCGGCTTGTTTCCTGGGGGTGAGGGGGACTTGAGTGATGGGAGAGATTAGGGGGCGAGTTGGTCAACGGATAATGAAGAGAACACAGAGATCAAAGACACCGGCCTTCCAAACGCCAAGGCTTCCTGCTGGCTGGCTGGCCCTGAAGACCTGGGTTTGTGCCCCCTCCCCCATAGGGGCGCCATTTAACCTCCCTGAACCTGTTTCCTTTCTGTACAAGGAGGAACACACCACCCATCCCTCTCCAGGGGTGGTTGGGAGGGTTAGGCGGCCTAATGGCTATGGAAGTGGCTAAGCCAGAGCTCACACACGGGTTGTCGTTGTGCAGTGCCATGGAACTGGAGGAGGGAGAAGTCCGACCTCTGGCCCTGCCCATGTCCACACTGCTGCAGACGACCCCGGCCACGGCAGAAGGCAAAGAGAGGGTCAGCACTGGGACCAAGTTTGCCCTCAGGCTCTGGCTGCAACACCTGGGCAGGTGAGGGAGGGTTCCCCAGTATTGGGCTGAAGGCACTAGAGCACTGGGGTGGGGGGAGGGGGCCGGGGAGGAAGAACAACTGCTCTTGGGAACCCTCAGGGTGATGCCCCAACCATGTGCAACTGGAGCTCGTGTGGACCCTGGGCCTGCAAAGGAAGAAGAGAACGTGGACCCCCTCCCCCCAAACCAGGGACCTGGAAAACCAAGTGCATAAGCCCCTCCCCAGCCCACCTCTATGACACAGAAGATTCACAACCTTTATTATGGGTAAGAACTTTGCTACAACTTTGGAAATAAAAAGTAAAATTACAACAGAGGTCCTAGGCCCTGGAGGAGCCTGAAAAAGGAGACTGGGGACAACACCAGGGTCCTCCCACCTCCCAGGAAAGGTGCAGAGTCAGCCAGACCTCACCACAGGCTGCGGGCCTTTGGAGGCTCGGGCGCTGGGCTGGTCAGCGTGAGAAACACTGTGAACTTAAATATATAAATAGAGCCCCAGGCATCGGCCGGGCCCTGCTCCCAGACTCCTGGGTCAGGGCTAAGGCCTTGTCTCCGCCTCAGGGAGACACACTGGGAAGCAGGAGGCGGGGGAAGTCGTCTTTGGATGTATTTTGGTTTTCCTTGTTTATGTACAAAAAATCTACAACCCAAAATAGAGTTCTCTGTCCATGTGTCTGTCTGTCTTAGTTCTCCACCTGTCTGTTTGGCCAAAGAGAACGGGTGGACATGAAGAGACAGTGGCTCTGGGGACAGAACTGAGCCATGGTTCGGGGACTGGGAAGAGAGGGCATAGAATTCAGCCCTTCCTGCAACTCCCATCCCATCTGCCTCCCACTGCCTTCGCTAACATACCCAAAGGAATATGCCAGCCATCTCAAGAACACTTCAAAAAGTAGGAAGGACCCAATGTCCTTTAAAAGAGGTTAAATATTAACCCTTTGGATGCTGGCCTTGTCAGACAGAAATGAGGCCAAAAACTAGTGTCTGTGAAGGTCTTTCTTGCCTGTGGCCAACCCCCCCTCGGGGGCAGAGTGGCCAGGGCTCTGGACTCCACAGCATCCTTGCCCATCCTTGCTGGGAGACAGTGACGGTTCCATGATCCAGGGGACTCAGTCCAGGGAAATGATGTCTGACCTGCAGCCAGTCAAAGAGGGACCTGGGGGCAGGGGTCCTCCGTGCCCCTCCCTCAAGGCCCCCCCAGGAGCCACAATGCTACTGACACGGCCAGGAGGGGGTGCTGGAGTGGTGCTGCGGTGAGAGTTCCCCAGTGTGGGGGCTAATGGGCCCAGGAAGTGGGAAGGGGTCCCTCGGTACTGGAAGAAATGGCCAAGGGCATCCTGCTCATCTAGCGAGGTGATGACGGAGGGGCCGTAGTGCTGGGGGAATCAAGGGCACAGTGTAAGGTTTTATCCATTCTTTACCTGCCTCCCGTCACTCATCTCGGAAACATCCTGGATAAAGCAACCCCACTGGGTCCCTAGTTCTTCTCTGAGAAGCAGGGGATCCTCTCTGATTCTTTCCCTACTTTTCCACACCCACCCTGACTCCCTGCCTTGTGGGTGTCTGAAGTGAGGAAGGTCGGAGGAGGCAGGCATGGAGCTCAGTGCACATGGGCACGGAGGGTGAGCCGGCGAGGGGCGGACTATACTGAAATCTGGAGACAGAACAGCAATAGGGATCGAGGAAGACGTAGGTGAGAATCTGGGGAAGTACTAGGGGGGCCTCGGAGGGAATAAACTGCCTGTTCCACCCCCTCTTCTCTCACGGGGAAGCCGATTTAGGTCCACAGGGAAAGTGAGAGAGGGGGGTGCCCACTAGTGCCCAGAAAGGAAGCTTCAGGAACCTGAGATCTTCATAGGAGAAGGGATCACTTACCTGACTTTCAGTCTGAAGGAAAGAAAATAAATCTAAACCTGGGGAGAAAAATATTAAAATCAACTTCCTGTCTGACCCCTTTACCGCAAAAAAAAAAAAAAAAAAAGGAGTTCCCTGAATTGTGGCCCTTTGCAGAGACCCAGAAAGCTCTGAAAGGGAGCGGGTTCTGACCCGGTTCCGGGGAGGATGGAACAGTGAGGGGCCCCACTTGGTGGCACGTCCTACCTTGGATGTCCGCCCCCAGGGGGAAGGCAGGTGGGTACTCGTGCAGTGGGAGACTGGACAGGAACTCGCCGCCCAGCGCCCCCATCGCAGGGCTCCGTAGCACCGACGACGCCGGCTGGTGGCCAGATGCCAGGACCCTGTGAGGAGACAAGGAGCTGGGGCAGCCAGCGGACCCCCGATGCCCTCGCCCGGCTGGGCCCCCCGAGTCCCCTCTGACCAGGCTTTGCCCCGTGACCAGAAAGCTCTCCTGACTTTTTCCTGTTCCTTCGGCAATAGGTTCAGACTATTTCCTCATACCCTTTGCTTCCAGGCAGAGCCGGGATGGCAGCTGAGGTGACAGGGCAATGCTTCTTGGTCGGGGGCAGGTCCTCCTCATCTGATGAGCTTTCTATTGTCAGGTCAATAACTTCAACCTTCTTCTTATTCTCTGAGGGATTGCCCTCTTGGACTGGGCTGTACTGGGGGCCTGTGGGTGATAAGGAGACTGTGTCTCAGAGAAGAGGCCATTCAAGCCTTAGCTCAGCTGGGGGACAGGGGGTCACTCACCATCCAGCCCATACCCTGGCGGGGGGCAAACCTCAGATGCCTCCTTCTTGGGTTTCAATGGGCACCAGGATCCATCTTCCATGAACTGGATCTCATCACAGTCCGAACAGGAATTAAGAATCTCCATGAATAAACTGGGGGAGGGAGAGAAGGGACTTCATGGGACTGGGAGATGGCAGGGACAACAGCCAGGAAATTCTGCTACTCATCTTCCTGAACCTCAGTTTCCGCATCTGTAAAATGGGGAATTATCCCCCTCCACTGAGCTGAGTTGTTAGAACCGAGTACTGCATGCAAAAGAGCTTTGCAAACAGTTTTAAAACAAGTATCTTCTAAGCATCTATCACATGTAGTACCAGGGACAAAACAAGGAGCAGAGATAGGGAACTCCACGCACCACCTTGAAAAGGGCCTGGGAGCAAGAACCGTAAAGCACGTCTGGAAGGGGCCAGAGAACTAGCTAGGTCAGCATATCCAGGCCCTCAAAGAACTTTATTGCTGGGCTCGGTGAGAGGTCCAGTCGTTGTTGTGAGCGCTATAATAGCTTGCTCCAGTGGCTCTGCCACTCACTAATAATGTAACTTTGGGCAAAATACTCCGTCTCTCTAGGCCCCAGTTTCCTCTCTTGTAAGGATGGTACCTCTGTCACAGTTACTATGAGGACACAAGGAAGCAGGTGTGCGGAGTGCTCAGCGCCATGCCTAGCATATAGTAGTAAGTCCTCAATGTTGGGAATATGTAAGTAGATATTATAAAAGGGGGTAGAGTACATATGTGTATGTATATGTATACACACACATATACACATGTCTATACACATGCATATTATGTGAGAGCGAGGGCGAGTCCCAGTGGCTGTCCTAGGAAAGGACAGAGCAGAGAGCAGAGAGGCCCTACCCATCAATGATAAGGGATTCATAGGGAGCCTTCTTGTCACACACAGGACACGTCCACGTTGGCTTCTTCTCATTCATCTGCAGATACAGGGCAGCATCGAAGCTCTGCAGGTGGGCGCAGGTGAGGGCACGACAAGGGACGGTCAAGCGCATCTTCCCGAGCTGCGGAGAGAGGAGTTCTCTGGTCAGCGTCCCCCGCCCCAGAAAGCCTCACTCCTGTGGCCCCAGGCAGCCTCCTCTGAGTCCAGAGGTTTAACCCAACCCCCTTGCCCCTTCTCTTCTCCCTTGTACCCACCGGGCACATGAGTGACACCCGGAGACTTGTGGTGGCCACCTCACTGTCCGGGTCAGCGGTCAGTTTCTCCTTGACTGAAACAAGAGTGAAGCCGGAGCCATGAGGCAAGCGAGGCTGGCGAGGAAGCCTGGCAGGTGGTGAGGCCGGAAGCAGATGGCGCTGGCTGAGAGGCCGCTGGGGAGCGAGCCTTTGGGGGCCAGCGGGCGGTCACCTGGGGGTGGTCTGGGGTCGGATTATGAAGGGGTGTGATGTTGTGGGTGAGTGTGTGGGTGGGGAGATCTCTTGATCCCTGAAGATGCTTAAATACAGCTGGTGACACTCTGGCAGAGATGACCTAGAAGGAACTGAAGCATCAGGAGACAGTGAGAGTAGATGACCCTAAAGATCCTTTCCAGTGGGGAGAACCCATATTCCAGTGGAGCCAGAGTTAGGGAATGCAAGGGCCTCACGCGGTGCCTGGGAGGGGTGCGACTTCTCCACTGATTGGCAAGGGGGTAAGGGGAGGTTGAGGTTAATGTGAGAAGTGAGGTAAATTGTCGTAAGAGGGGTCTGGGTTTGATTCAAAAGGCTAGAGGCCCGGGAAGACTTGGATCCAGGTGAGAGTGGGAAGAGGGGCAGCATGCTACTCACTCAGTGCCCGGGAGTGGTCTGGGTTCCGGATGCCCTTTGCTCTGAGTTTCTGTAGAAGCGTCCCTGCCGTCAGCTGCCTCACCAGGTACACAGACAAGGAGTAATTCTACTTGGAGGTGGGGAGACAGTTAGCCTCTGCTCTGCACACCACCCCCCGACCCTTCGTCCCATGAGGACCAGGGGCAGCAGAGAGACCCACAGAGAGGAAGAGGCTTCCCAAACATTCCTCCCCACTCCCTGCACTGCCGGCTTCTCCATCCTCCCTGACGCAGCCATGCTCACCCGTCCGAACTCAGATGACCAGTTGACCACGATGGTGTTGGGAACAGTGGCCGAGAGTCGAGCCAGGGGAGTGATGTTGATGGGGCGGCTGGGCCTCTTGGGCTCAGCCCCATTCTTGGTGGGAGGAAGGTAACCCTGGGGAAGGGAGAGACTGGTCAACATGTCTGGTCTCGGGTTCCTCACTCCCTGGAGGGAAGGCCAGCTCATTGACCCAGGAGATGGGGCCCCTCAGTGACAGGAGCACTATCACTGTGTAGGGCGTTCATTCCTAGGTGACAGGGAGAGTTTATTCACTGACCAACGAAACAGGAACCCGCTCACTGAGCTCTAGAGGAGGAAGAACAGGGATGCCCCATTTGGTCCAACTCGGCTCTAGAGGCACCTCTGAGAAGCCTTCCCTGAACATCTGGGTTGAGCATCACTCCTCTGGATTCTGGCAGAACCCTTGTTCAGCCCTATCTGAGCACTCTCTGGATGACACTGATTCGACCAGTTAACTGAGTACCTATTGTGTGCCTTAACTGAGTGCCTACTGTGTGCCAGGCACTGTGCTATGCATGTCTCTTTCATAACAGGTTTGTGATGAACGTTTAGGAACGGAAACAGAAGGGGTTACTGCCAGAAGGGAAGAGCATTTACCGGCAGGGGGCACAGTTTCCCATTGACCTTGACAAAGAGGTTGGGGGGGAAATAATCCTCCTGGGGGCAGCTGGTCTCACAGAGACAGAACCTAGGACGAGATGAGAGAAGAGAGAAGAATGGGGTTCAGTTTCTTGAGCAGAATCCCCAGTATAAAACAAGAGCCCAGGACTGGCGGACGTGGCAGAGCAAGGATATCCCCTCAGCGTATCTGCCATACCCTCACTGCACTCCCACCCCCAAGGGGGCCCGGCAGGGAGGGAGGGAGCTCAGCTCAGCTCACCTTA